TCTCTCTCTCTCTCTCTCTCTCTCTCTCTCTCTCTCTCTCTCTCTCTCTCTCTCTCTCTCTCTCTCTCTCTCTCTCTCTCTCTCTCTTGCGCACAGAGAGAGACAGAGGGACCGTGTGAGCGCGCGGTTTCTTTTTGTTTAGTATTATTAATCAATCAATCAGTCAATCAACAAACCAATCAGTCAATCAATCAATCAATCAGTCAACCAATCAATCAGTCAATCGATCAATCAATCACTCCCTTTTTTCTTTTCGCTTTTGCTCGTTTTATCGTTTTTTTATTTTTCAGAAATCTAAATAAAGACCAAAAAAAAAAAAAAAGGGGGGGGTCGTAGAGCTTTTTGTGCTGTACAACCCCGTATTTTTCTTTTTTTGTTTTGATCATTTTTTTAGTGGCCTGCGCAGCAAAGTACGGCCTAGGAATGGCACAGCCATTCGAAGTCCGTTCGAATCGAACAGCCGTACGACAAAACCGCCGTACGGCTTACTTCATAGGTAGCTGCTATGCTATGCTAGGCTAGGCTTTTCTTTTTTGCTTTTTTTTCTTTTTTTTTACAACAAAGCCCATGATATTGTAGAGGTTGGACACTAGATATGCTAATCTGCTCTGTCGTGTACTCCTACTGACAGGTAGTACTTCTTTAACTGACCTCTTGGACGTTATTGCATCCACATGCATCCACGACAACGTAAATGCGGTCAGATCAGATGCGTCAACCCAGGAAAGTCGCTAGTGTGAGTATGCTCATGGCAAGGTGGGTTTCGAGCCCATCTCCACTTCACTCTCCAACCTCTCAGGACCAAACAGAAGAGGGAGGGGGGGGCGGGGGGGACGGAGAGAGAGCGAGAGAGAGAGAGAGAGAGAGAGAGAGGGACGCCTTCTCTTACCTCTCATGAGCCTGATCATCAATTCAGTGCCAAGACAAACAGTGAGTACGCGCGCCCGCGCGTGCGTGTGTGTGTGTGTGTGTCTGTGTGTTCTGAGAAAGAGAGAGAGAGAGAGAGAGAGACCATGCGTGTGTGTGTGAGTCTGTGTGTGTTGCCACGTTAGCTATACACCACTCCGCGCAAACCGTCTAAAAAAGCACGACTGTGCCAGACTGTTTCGTCGGACTTTCACCGACTCATCCGGGGGCTAGGTCCCACTTACCCGAATTAAGCGATATTGACCGTAGATAGCAAAGATCAACGGCCAGATTCTCCCAATCCGTGCAAGTGGGACCTTGCCCCGGAGGTTGAACCCGGAGAGTCTGCCCAGGATGCATTTGACTGATGGGCAAGGACACATGCGTCCCGGAGTGATCGAGTGTGAATGTGAGCTTGTGAGATAGAGAGAGCGGAAAAGCGAGTCAGAGGAGGCGGGGGAAAGCGCACAAGCGACCAAGGCAGCGAGATGATCCACGAGCGCACGGGGTAGAAAGAATGCGGGAGAGCGAGCAAGCGCGGATGTGCGTAGGAAAGCGTGTGGACGCGATTGCGGGTGAGAGAGAGAGGGTGTGTGGGATCGTGTGTGTGAGGGAGTCGGGGAGAGAAAGAGAAAGGGAGATTTCACGGGCGTTTCGCTTATTGTTTAATGTATCCAATTGCAAAAGCAGCTCGATACATTCGAAACAGAGCTTGCATTCTTTTTTAATGTATTTGGCCACAGTTGACGTTGGATGCACTGAAAACATTGCTAGTGTGTTTGCACTCGCTGAGCAGCTGAATAGCTAGCCAGCCAGCCAGCGACCGAGCGAGCGACCGAGCGAGCGAGAGAGAGAGAGAGAGAGAGAGAGAGGGAGAGAGAGAGAGAGAGAGCGCTAATAGATAACCTCTAATATTGGTGTATCTGGCTGTGAATGCGGTAAGATACACGTGGTAAAAAGAGAGAGAGAGAGACACAGAGAGAGAGAGAG